TGCCAAGCTCACTACGTACACAAATCAAGTAATAAAGCACAAGATGGAGAGGGATTGGGCCTAATTTAAGGGAGGCAAAGAAAGTGAACCTCTATGGTTGACACACAGAGTACATGATCTAACTATGCATACATACCTTGTCAAGCATTCTGACCTGATAAGAAATGAAAACAAGAACGCCACTGCCGTCGGTTAGTCGCCATATCCTTCAGTGTCTCCAACCAGCCAACTGCACAGCCTTTCGGACCCCTGGAAGACGGGAAACACCTATTCTACCTAATCGCTCTGTGTATTTCTTCATGTCTTGCTGCTACGTCATCTGTTGACCTCCACGTGNCAACCTGGAGCCTCAAGTGCGAATAAGGCACGGTGCGGTAGACGATGACTAGCTATGCGCAATACGTGTCCTAATCAGCGAAGCCGACCAATCGGAATTCGATGGGACAACCGATTCTCCATCGAATCATTGCCAAACACTTGACGCCTTATCTCAGAGTTGCTTACACACTCGCTCCATCCAACCCGCGCCAAACTACGTAAACACCGACAGTCAAAGACTTCTAGACGACGAATATCTTCCACCACAGAGCGGAACTATTCGCACTCTGGCGCAGTATACACGACCTTTCAGTTTCAGTAGGTGAAACATTCCACTACAGCTAATTTTTGGCCATGAAGCATCAGCGCTGAGATAGACGATACCCAGTCCTGTAGCATCACTTTGCACTTTGAAGGTGCAAAGCGCATGTAAAAGGAGTTACATAACTTGCCAGTTTGTCAACAGCGCTTTGCGCATCCTTCCTACACTCGACAGGCAAACGATGTCGTCAGTGTGCTCTAAATCGCACAGCTTTCTCCAGCTGCCCATGCAATACCTACGTTTTGGAGACCACTGATTACGTTCTCAAGTACTTCGTCTACGACGAAATTGATCAGGAATGGCGAGATAGAGCATCCTTGACGAACACCGCTCCTGGTTTCGAATGAATTACTTGGCCTACCATAGACCCTTACGCTATAAGAAGTATGCAGGTACAGCGATAGCAATAGATTTGCATACTTCCGCGGTTTTCCTTTGTGAAGCAGCGACCCCAGAAGGGCTTCACGGTCAACTGAATGAAAGGCTCCTTTTAGATCAAGGAACACTGCGATTGTTGGCCGATGTGTGTGACGTAGTTTGAGGACTTGACGCGGAGTATTCAATCACCCATATCCTCAAAGCATTACTAGTGCCTGGTAGGAACAGTGCGTGAGGCAATGAAGAGGTTTGTTATAATGCACCAGTTGCTAGCAAATGCTCTTGGAAAAGATAAATCGCTGTTCACTCCCTCTACAACAGTTTCGACATGTTTTGCGTTCAATGTCTACCTTTCCGTGCTCTTTTTGCAGGTTCTAGGCAAGAAGCGACGTGGCAGTGGCCGTGATCAAGCGGTTCAAGTCGCCGTCCCCCGCGTGTTTAATCCCCAGAACTAGCGCGCTCACTGGAAGTGGTGCAGAAGCAATTCGACGCTTTTAATTCAACCTCGATTCTCTATCCAGTCCAAGCCGCTACTTCGAATCAATCTCCAGAAACTCTGCCACCGACTACGACCAACGAGGTACGTTCGTCTACGACGGCACTGGCCTCTGTGATTGTGAAAGACAAATGCTACCTATGTGGTTAAGACCGCCATTCACGCCTCAGTTCAATTATCCTGCTAAAGATGCTGTCTGCCGAAACTGTGGCAAGAAAGTTCACTTCAAAAGAGTTGATCGATCAGGATGTTACAGGGAACATACTGCCCGCCAAGGAATCTGTCTTGTCTACGGTGATTGCTGCCTCTACTCCCGACTGACTGTCCGAAGCGATTAAAAACGTTACTGTGAACAGTAGTCCGTTGCCGTCTCTGATAGATACGGGAAGCCAGTTATATGCCCACTTCGGCAGTGCGCGAATGCAATTTTCAGGTTACATAGTCCTCTAACGTCATTTTTATGGTTTCCACTTACCTCACCTGCCGCACTCACGGTCACCATAAACTTCGAAAGCAACACAAAGTAACTTTGAGATTTCTGTGCAGATGTGTTACTGAGACATGATTTGTTAAAATTTCACGAAAAAGTCGAAATCCCCTTCAACAGTTCAAGACCGCCCCCTCTCTCTCTGGGGCATATGCGCTGCACACATAGAACCTCCATTTGTTTTCGGAAATCTGTTGCCTGATTGCAAAAACCGATCGAAACAAAATCAAGTCTTCGGAAACCGGACCACGAGCAGTTTATCCGATCAAAGGCTAACAGACTACTGAAGGACGGTATCACCGAACCTTCCCCATACCGTACTGCAACCATTCTTGAATTGAATTTCACCGCTGCGCTACTGTTACGCTTAGCTGTTTCCCGGGTAGACCTTGTTCCTCCCGTTGCTGTGTCACGAACTGTTACTGCTGCCGTGTAATCTGGTTGCTAACCTGACTACTGTAAGTTACCCTTTCTGTTTTATTATTACTGTATGCTTTTAGAACAACGATTCATATCATGTCGATAAACACGGCTACTTTATTGGACTTCGTTCTGCTGCCCGTAGCCGTGCTCTGCCCATATCGTGAGTATAGCTATCGAGCCTGAGTTACCGACAAATTCCTAACTGCTAAAGTGTGTCAGCACAGTAGCTTTGTTTACACATAATAACAACAGGGCATAATAACACAATATATATATATATATGTATCATAATATATACTACGCGATACATGTATGTCTACAATAAAGTTCTATCTTGTTTTGTCATTAGTTTGTGCTTCCATAAATACAACTTTATTACACAATTACTCAATTACACAATTTCCAGTGGGTTAGCAATTATCGGTCGCAATCAATCACCAAGTAGGATAGATCCTTTAGGTGAATGTGTTAAACCACTCGTGCGGAATGTCCATGCGCCCTACAGTGTGAAACGATAAGCAACCTGGAGTAGAATTCGAACCCACAGGTCAGCACCACCCACGCGTTCGTACGATGTATGCTTGATCAGATGAACCACACAAGCTGTGTGGATCTAATCAAATTTGGCTCGTTAGCTACGCGTTAACAANCAGTACACCAGCATTTCTAATAACTGCAATCTGTTTGTGAGATATTTCTGTCCGAAGTGTTTATTGATCCCAGATGCCGTGTGCAAACTTTGGCTAAAACTTCAGAGATTCGAACGCGCAACGGGTGAGAGTTCATTGCGATGACGGGTATGAGGAGAAGTTTCTCACGGTCAATTGCGCATGGGGAAAAGCTGGAGTGTCAAGAACGCAGATTCCCATTAATCTTGTTGTATTGAGAACGTCATTGATAAACTCTAAAGAAGAATGTTAAATAAGCAAGAACACAAATCCACAGTCGAAATACTCATCTTGGCAACCCCCAAAGCGATCCGAAATCCTCATTATAGTTGGAGGTGGGTGTCTGGAGTTGCAGCGTGACCAAGCGTCTCAAATAGTCTCTGCTGAAGAAGCCCTACTCAATGCTTTCTCGTGGCGGAGGTGATTTCCTACGAAAGTGAGAGGACCAAAAGCGAATATCCGGGGCTGAAACCGGTTAGTGGACCGTTGGCCAAAAACCCTGATTCCAAACCAACGAAGAAGAGGTGTACGAACCACCCACATAACTTTCCGGTTGGGGCAACGGTCACCGGCTCAAGTGAGTACCTTGGACGTTTCATTCCGTCCAAAGGGTGCCTGATCCGACAAACTGTGGTTTTCAGACACCGCTCAACTACCTTGACTGGCTTTGACCAACCAAAAGCCCTTGTTGTGGATTCTTTCAGAAAATTCACCTGCCTTGGCCTAGGCAACCTGGTGGCATTCGGCCTAGATGCAAATCGTGGAATAAAGAATACTGTACCACGGTTTGCTTGGTACACAGTCCGGCCTCAGGTGGGTGTGAATATAATAATAATCATACTATACAAAGATGTCACGAAGTTACTGAGGGTTTGTGCCAAGTTATGGGCTTAAACAACGGTCGCATGCGTAAATCTAAGCCAGAGCCGAACAAGACCACCGTTTAAGTTGAGAGGATAGTGAGATAGGAGGGCAAGTGCTAGTACTGCTATCCACGAACTCCTACTGTGACTGGTTATTTACGTTCTTATTCAGAGATCATGTACGTGTTGTCCTCCGTAGAATTTTTTGGGATATTTGCCTGTTCATTGCGCGCGACAATCACCTACCCAATTCACTGCCCGAGTACTGGTGGGCACACCGTGAGCCAATAGGAGAGCAGATTGACGTGCTCGACCCGAATCACAATGATCCATATAGCCCAGAGCCAAATATAGCATACTTGGATCCGAAGCCAAAGATTCCGCATAGCCAATAAGGAACGAGTCGGCCAATGGAAAAGTACTGCGAATAGGTGAATTCGATGAATCTGCTCCGTGGTGACCGGTGTCAGTATCTGCAGGGATAAGAAGAATAAGAAGACAATTTTATCACAAACCACGAAAAAACATTCTTCCCCATTCCGTCCCCAACACACACACGCACACACACACACACACACAAACCACTGTCACCCAATAAGGACTCTAAAAGGGAGGTAGAGAATGGTCCTTTGCAGAATGTTAGTCAGAGAGAAATTAGCACACAGGATGTAATCAAATATTCACATGACGTTCGCCTGAGGCTTACTTTCTCCTATGCGGAGTCAAGTCGACTTCACAAATGAACCCATGAAGATTTCTCGGCAAAGGACATGAAAAATATTATTGGGCTTTAGCGTGCACACATCCTAGTTCTACCGATAGGGTAACCGAGCATTGGCGATCGCGTTGTTTGGTCGCGGACCAGACTAGCACAAATCACGCTGCTTTCTACGAACTTTTGTACTTTATATCACCAAGTGAGTTTGCCAGAAGAAAACTCGCCCCACGATTTTGGGTATTGTCGCTCATATTCGGGAACCGTTTTTTCATTGAATCTGTCTACCTGTTCACAATTAGCGTACTTTCTCTGGACCGCGACCCAGAGGAGTACCCGATTGTGTACAGCTCCGCTGGTTTCCGAATAATCCGGTCCCGTGGTACCTTTAGAAACAAAACAATCAAACAGCGCCACTACTCTCAGCACTTTGTTCTTCAGCGAGTTTTCCAGAACATGGAAAAAACATTCATTTGAATTGAAAACTCGCGTTGTTTGGATGATTCAGTATTTTTCCGGTGGGGGGCGCAAACGTCCGCCCATCTAGCTACCTTAATTTGGCCAGTGATCACATTCGTAAGCAAAGTGACATGCAAAATGTTCGGTGGATAACAAGTTATGGAGTCACAATAAATGGATAGGGAAAATGGGTACAAAGTGTGAAGTGCCTTGAACCAGATAAGGTGGATTGCACAACTCCGGCTTCATAATCTTAATTGCTATCGCTTCCGCAGTTTTCAGGATCTTCTCAGTTAATCCTTTAGTGCAGTCCTGTGAAGAAACTTGCACATGATATATCTGGGGCAATCCTGCGTCCAGTGTCGACCAGATGGTGCAGGATTGAGCTGTTCAAAATTCCCATTGTTCCTTTTCGAAGAACGGTCGGACAATGTTCAAATATTCTCTTGGACAAACAACGCGTTAGCCATTTTTGATTTTGTACCGTTTGATTTTGATTCTAGAGACCACAAATTCTTTCTTCACCTTGAGCTACGCAGTCCAGTAAATCCCGTTTGTATATTGGTTGGACGAAACTTTAAAAAGGTTTGTACTGTCCTACCCACGCATATATGTATGTTTCACATACGTCTGAATCCAGACTGTATTCTAAGCAAATCATGGTACAATAATCTTGATAGAAGGAAAAACGTTCCCCGATTTGCATGAGGGCCGAATACTGCCAGGTGGCCCAGGACACGGCAGGTGAATTTTCTGAAGGAATCCACAACAAGAGCCTTTGGACAGCCAAAGCCTAACCCACAACGTAGCACGGCGGTATGTGAAAACCGCAATCCATTGGGAGCCAGTGTCCATTTCATTGAATCATACGCCCTTTGGATGGGATCAAATGTCCAAGGTGCTCAATACACCTCGATGACCAGTAAAGCGGATGACCAATGCCACAACCAGGAAGGTGTGTGTGTGTGTGTGTGTTTGGTTCGTACGCCTCTTCTTCGTTGGTTTGGAATCAGGGCTTTTGGCCAACAATCCTAGGTGAACAGCGGCAATCCTAGACACCCATCCCCAATCATACTGAGGCTTTAGGGAGGCCCTACCCACGTGCGCTTAGGGGATACTCTGCGTTCAATATGGCCATCCTCCGTACACCGAAGTCCAACAGCGAGAAAACGAAAATTTTCTTGATTACCGCCAGTGTGAATCGTACACCATAGTGAGTGTTGTTAAATGCTTACATGAATTTAGTAATGTCCGCTGTGCAGTCACTGATGGCGAACGTACCATTCATATATTTGACTTGGTGTATAGATAAAGAGTATCGATGGTGTTCCTCAATGATCTAAGTTTGAGTAACATGTCCGATGTAACTCACATAGATTTGGCGAAGTTCCCATCTTTCGCTGTGTCATTGTAAGAGTTGACCAATATCAGTTGAGATGCGTGCTGCTCGCGATCGAGCAATCCATTCTACTCTACGGTTCTCGACCGCTATTCCAAGTAAATGCAGACGAAAATGTAGCATCAATCAAATCAGGAACCACAGTCAATCCTGGTTCATCCATAAGAAATTCGTCGGGTAGTACTCCC